ACGTCTGCGGCATATGCGAGGCTGGCTAACATCAGAACGGCGTTCAGGAACCTGTGTAAGGAATCATTCAGAATCTTGTACACCACATATGTAAGACCAATCCTGGAGTATGCGGCCCCAGCATGGAGCCCGTACCTTGTCAAGCACAAGACGAAGCTGGAAAAAGTCCAAAGGTATGCTACTAGACTAGTCCCAGAACTAAGAGGCATGAGTTATGAGGAAAGGCTGCGGGAAATGCACCTCACGACACTGGAAGACAGAAGAGTAAGGGGGGACATGATCACAACCTACAAAATCCTCAGGGGAATCGACCGGGTAAACAAGGACGAACTTTTCAACACTGGTGGGACGCGAACAAGGGGACACAGGTGGAAGCTGAGTACCCAAATGAGCCACAGAGACGTTAGAAAGAACTTTTTCAGTGTCAGAGTAGTTAGCAAATGGAATGCATTAGGAAGTGATGTGGTGGAGGCTGACTCCATTCACAGTTTCAAATGTAGATATGATAGAGCCCAATAGGCTCAGGAATCTGTACACCAGTTGATTGACGGTTGAGAGGCGGGACCAAAGAGCCAGAGCTCAACCCCCGCAAGCACAATTAGGTGAGTACAATTAGGTGAGTACACACACACACACACACACACACACACACGCACACACACACACAGAGCACAGGCCCCAGCATGGAGCCCGTACCTTGTCAAGCACAAGACGAAGCTGGAAAAAGTCCAAAGGTATGCCACTAGACTAGTCCCAGAACTAAGAGGCATGAGTTACGAGGAAAGGCTGCGGGAAATGCACCTTACGACACTGGAAGACAGAAGAGTAAGGGGAGACATGATCACAACCTACAAAATCCTCAGAGGAATCGACCGGGTAAACAAGGATAAACTATTCAACACTGGTGGGACGCGAACAAGGGGACACAGGTGGAAACTGAGTACCCACATGAGCCACAGAGACGTTAGAAGGAACTTTTTCAGTGTCATAGTAGTTAACGGATGGAATGCATTAGGCAGTGATGTGGTGGAGGCCGACTCCATACACAGTTTTAAATGTAGATATGATAGAGCCCAGTAGGCTCAGGAATCTGTACACCAGCTGATTGACAGTTGAGAGGCGGGACCAAAGAGCCAAAGCTCAACCCCCGCAAGCACAAATAGGTGAGTACAAATAGGTGAGTACACACACACACACACACACACACACACACATACACATACACACACACACACACACACACACACACACAACACGCACAAGGGGACACAGGTGGAAACTGAGTGCCCAAATGAGCCACAGAGATATTAGAAAGAACTTTTTTTAGTGTCAGAGTGGTTGACAAATGGAATGCATTAGGAAGTGATGTGGTGGAGGCTGACTCCATACACAGTTTCAAGTGTAGATATGATAGAGCCCAGTAGGCTCAGGAATCTGTACACCTGTTGATTGACGGTTGAGAGGCGGGACCAAAGAGCCAGAGCTCAACCCCCGCAAACACAACTAGGTGAGTACACACACACACACACACACACACACACACACACACACACACACACACACACACACACACACACACACACAGGTAAATGTATTTTTATTTTTATTGTCTTTATTTGATATATACAAAAGTTGTTACATTGTTGTACAGCCACTAGCACACACAGCGCTTCAGGCAGGTCCTTAATGCCATGTTCCCCGCAATACGACCCGCCAAGTAGTTTAACAACCAAGTACCCATTTTACTGTTGGGTAAACAGAGGCTACAGTTAAGGATTGGCGCCCAGTCAATCCTTCCCGGCCAGGATACGAACCCAGGCCAAAGCGCTCGCGGAACGCCAGGCGAGTGTGTTAACCAGTAGACCACGGGGACTTCTAATGTAGTTACCAAGAGCGGGAGAGAGCCTGTGTGGGGCCTTTGGCCGCAGTGTCCAAGAGTGGTGTTGGTTCCACGTAGTTAACGTTGAGTCACCTTTGTTGACGTTGATATTGCTCTTGGATATTGCTCCCACTGGGGGTGAGGGGAGGGGGTGATGGGGGGGGCGGTGTGAGGGGTGTAGTGATGGGGGGGGGGAGGGGTGAGGGGACGGGATGAGGACCAAGTTCATGGTGTCTGGTCTTGGCAATACAGTATTCTTTGTTGTGTGAAGGTTACAAGGTTGCCGCGTGTGTGACGTGTAACAGTCTCGTCATGCCATCCTCCGGCGACTCTGCCAAAGATTATTTCCATATGACTTGTTTGGAATGTTTGTTTACGTACGTTGTGGGCAAGCTTATATACACAAAAATAATAAGTAGAGAAATGTATCAAATAATATACATGGAAGGTACTGGAGGGCCAGGTGCCAACTTTGCACAGTAGACTAACAACATACTGGAGCGAAATATACGGAAGGACATGCAGAATAGTACAGTGAGGCGTAGAGGCGCCATAGGCACAATCAGAAAACACTGAATATCAGGGGTCCTTCCAGCAATCATTAGAAATATTGCCAGAACAAAGGTGGATATCTTCAAGATACACTTAGACACGTTCTTGTCAGAAGTGGCGGACCAACCGGGTTGCACTGTCACCTGAAATTGAAATAAGTTTTTTTTGAGGTAAAATACACACAAAGGGATGAGGTAGCTGAAGCTATTCTCACCCCGTTCAGTACATCGTGTTAATACATACATAGACACACATCACAAACAATAAACATATTACCAAACATTCTGAGAGATAAACATATACATTTGAGTGTCACCTTGTTTAGTCCTTGTTGCTAAGGATGTTTACCATCTTCCCATTTAATGCCGTAGTCTCGGTGTTTTCACACCTTTCACTTTGTCAGCAGTCACTGGCAGGCCACACCTGGAGTACTTAACTAATGACTTACTACGAGGCCGGGCTCCATGTATCTGTAGTGCACGGTTATGGCTTCCTTTAACGTCTCCTTAATCATTAGTATATTTAATTTTCCATCATGCAGCTTTATTCTGTAACATGACTAGGGTCAGTAAATGACGGTTAAATAAGGAACACAAACGAAGGATGTTATCTGCCGTAGACAACTAGACCAACGTATATGACTAAATACAGAAAAACATTTAAATGGGGTACTGCTGGTAGGTTACTTAGAGATCACAAACCTAACTTTATCACCCCAAATATTGCTGACGTTCATACTGTGCTAATTGACTCTCAAAGACAGTAACAAGGCAATTAGCAAGTGTGATCTGATTTAGGGAAACAAGGCACTTACTGCTTATATATCAAGAACTTTGGTATGTTTCACTAGTACAAAATCCTCAGAGCTCTCCCTGTTAATTCTGCGGCGACGCCGAAAGTCAATAAGCCCCGCCTCGTCTCTATAGAGCCAGTCATAAGCTGTCTGTCTGTCTGGCCTCCTTATCATGGACTAGCTAATCCCAGTCTGGTCTTGATCAATGTCCACGTCAGCGTTTGCTTGAAAATCCTTCTGGAATGTGGTATCCAGAAGTGGGTATTTATATAACCTGGCTTATCTGTTCCTGTTCTACACATATGGAGAACCAGAATGTGTTCATAAATGTTCTTCAAATTATTTCATAAAGTTGTATAATTTAATAGCAGGTAAGATTGGTAAATAATTAGCGGCAGAATAGTCATTGTTAGATCTAAGGCGTTTATACGGCATGAATATTGTTTACCCATATAGTCTTATTTTTATTGGACTCTTATACTCTTTATCGTATATTATTATGTACTTATTTTGTATTGGCGTCAGTAATTATTCTGTCTATCTTCTCTTCTTCCTCCATTTCCCAATATTGTTCCTTCTCCCTCTCCTTGTTCTTTTTTGTCTTTACTTCTTCCCACTAGGTCCAAGGTTCTGTTCATGCGGTAAGACAGAAACGTTTGAGCAACGTTTCCTTTAACTTGATGCCAATGTTCACCTAACTGTAAATAAGTGACCGGGAGTTAGGCAACTGTTGTGGGTTGCATCTTGGGGAGGTGAATAGCCTAGGGAAGAGAAGAAGAAACCTTGAGAAGAAAAAATCCACAAGGGCCATGAGGAGGATTCGAACCTGCGTCCGGGAGCATCCGCAACGTTACCTTGAGAAGTGTAACATGGTCCCTTCGCCCGACTGTGGGCAACTTTAAGGTGAACCATATAGGGACAATATTAGTGGGTGAAGCAGTGAATGATGGGAGTGTGGCAACTTGGGCCAGGGTCGGACGAGTTCACTTATCGGGTATTACTGCCATGTCTTACTTGTGGTGTCCAGGACGGAGCAGCTCTCGTCTAGCAGAGTGGTGCTGTGGAGATAAGTGATTGATAAGGAAAGCCATCAAGTGTCACCAGGTGTCGGGTCACTGGGGAGAGAGAGGGTGTGCGTGCACGCACGCACACCCTCTACCCTGCCACCCCCACCTCTGTCTTTTGCCAGTTGTATCACGCTCCGTGCTCATTTTATGGACTTGTACACACTCCGTGCTCACATTTTAAGCTGTTACACAACATGTTTATAAATATATCTGAATTTTCCTCATGTCAAGACGCTGTGCACCATACTGGTCCAACACTTGAGAAAAGCAACAAAGTCTTGCTCTAAACACATCTTGGCTAAGAAGAACGTAACTACGTGTGTTTTGCAGTATTATTTGACCTCTCGAGACTTAAGATGGTGGTGACACTTTTATTTACTAATTGGGAGGCCCAATTAGCCTCCCTTGTTTTCAGGAGGTGGGGAGATTAAGGAATTCATTGATAATTTGTGTTTGTCTATTGAGGAAGCGCTGTTCTTGTTCCAATTTGCATTTGTCCTTAAAATGGTATGTTATTAATCAAACATTTCAAGTGCCACTCTTCCCATCTCATTGATGCACTGGCTTAGCTTTGTTACTTGGGTCTTCCATCACGGTTTTTAGTTACTACTTTTTTTTGTAATTTCCAGAAATTCGGAAGTCGGAATCCTTTTATAATGGTACCAGATGGGCCGTCATTACTCTATAATGTGCGTGACTGTCCACTGGTACTTGTACACCCACCACCCATGTACTCAACTACCTCCACCTCCCCCCCTCCACACCATCTGAAAGTGTTTACTGAAAATACCGATTTACTTCAATATATCGCAATGTAAAGAAAACATTACATCATGACCTTCAGTAGTTTCTGGGATGATTTGTGAAGTTTGTCTGGCCAGTCTGCCACTGCTCTGCTCGAACATGTTACAAAGTTCTTCCATCAATTATACGATAGTTATTGCTGTATTCGGTTTTAGACATATACCGAATCTTTTATTCTCAAACAATATTGGTGTTCAGATTTCAGCAGAACAGTTGTTTTTATTATGTAATATTCATATGATGCTTTGGGCTATTGGTTCAAAGCCACTTGGACTCGACGGTCTCGCTTCATGCAGGTCTGGGTTCAATCCCCGCCCGTCCAAGTGGTTGGGCACCATTCCTCCCCCCCGTCCTATCCCAAATGCTTATCCTGACCCACCTTCCTAGAGCTATATGGTGGTAATGGCTTGCCGCTTTCTCCTGTTACGATGGCTTAGTGGAGGGAGGTCCTGGCACGTGTTGAATTCTAACCAGAGTTAGGTGTGCTCTTGAAGGTTGAGGGAGAACAATATATTTGTATGAATATTTATTGAAATATAAAATTGGTAAAAAAAACATACAAAATAAGAATGTATTAACAAAGCTACAATGATGTAGATAAATTATGATGTAAGACATAATGTTTAATAACAAATACCCTGAGATAAGAGGTGTAGAGATGAGTATGGTGCAGGTGGGAGTGTGCACCACCTGGTGAGTGTAGTGTGCACGTATGGTGCAGGTGGGAGTGTAGTGTGCACGTATGGTGCAGGTGGGAGTGTAGTGTGCACGTGGGAGTGTAGTGTGCACGTATGGTGCAGGTGGGAGTGTAGTGTGCACATATGGTGCAGGTGGGAGTGTAGTGTGCACGTATGGTGCAGGTGGGAGTGTAGTGTGCACGTATGGTGCAGGTGGGAGTGTAGTGTGCACGTATGGTGCAGGTGGGAGTGTAGTGTGCACGTATGGTGCAGGTGGGAGTGTAGTGTGCACGTATGGTGCAGGTGGGAGTGTAGTGTGCACGTATGGTGCAGGTGGGAGTGTAGTGTGCACGTATGGTGCAGGTGGGAGTGTAGTGTGCACGTATGGTGCAGGTGGGAGTGTAGTGTGCACGTATGGTGCAGGTGGGAGTGTAGTGTGCACGTATGGTGCAGGTGGGAGTGTAGTGTGTGTATGGTGCGCCTAGATCATCCAACAAGGCCCACACCGATGACATGGGTGCCTTCCGTGACACCTAAATTCTCAAGTGTTCTGAAAGTGCTCTTGTATATCATACACAACTGCCTAGCATACAAAATATAACTATTGATGAAACTACAGGTTGTCCTATACGAGACGACTGCTACTTACATCCAACTAAACTCACTATTATAAACCGCTTAACACACGTGCGAAAAACACACCAGTAATTACACACGTATTACGTCGTCCAGGAATGTGTTCCACTAAACTAACAACACTTGATGATAGCAATCACTTGATGATAGCAATGTTGAGCCGTTGTCGAAGTGTCGAGGCTTGTGCTTCTCCTCTTGGCCTTGTATCCCACGGCTTTTTGCACATCATCAACCAAAAATATAAAAAAACGTAAGATTTCTTCATTTAAGGCGATTACAAGCCAGTGTTGTGTAAGAGAGTATTGGTTTTAATCAAAGCTGGAGTGGATGGTTATCGTGGGCGTCGTGTGTTTACCAAGGTTACTGCGTCATGGCAGGTGGTGTGACGTCTCTCCCTCCACCCTAGACAACCTCGCCCTCTGCTTCCTCCTCACTCACAGAAACAATGCAGAGTAGAAATATATGTGGCTGACGGGAACAGGGGAGTTGTGGCCGTCTGGAGGAGGGCAAGAGCAGTAGAGAGGCGAGGTGCGTGACGGAGCCGTCTGGAGGAGTGACAGGAGCAGTAGAGAGGCGAGGTGGATGACGGAGCCGTCTGGAGGAGTGACAGGAGCAGTAGAGAGGCGAGGTGGGTGACGGAGCCGTCTGGAGGAGTAACAGGAGCAGTAGAGGTGTGAGGGAGCCATCTGGATGTTGTGGAGGCGAGGTTGAGAGTCTAGAAGCAGGCGGGAGAGGGGGCGTGGGAGGGCAGTGCTGGGGAGTGGTGTCGACACTTGTCCAGCTGTTGCAGGATGGCCGCCAGCTTGGACGCCAGCAGAGTTACATACTCTTCCTGCAAACAAGGAGAAATTGGTTGTATAATACAGACGAATGTAGCTCAGAATTCAACATCAATCTTGTCTTTCAAGGTTTACATTTTAAGGAGTAGCATTGACCCAATGATGGTCGAACAGCACAAGAGCAGATGATTGAGCCGGCGAGTACAAGTAGGTGGGTACAGGGACAGTATGGTGAGGGTGGAGACATTTGTGCGAGAGGTTGGGGTGGGGAGGATTGACTGATTGATGAAGATTAAGCCACCCAAAAGGTGGCACGGGCATGAATAACCCTTAAGGGGAGGAAGGGAGGATGGCAAAGCTTCCAGTGTGGTGTTGACGCTGTAGACTAAAACCCCACAAGTTCTGGAGATGTTTGGTGAGTGGGGGTGACGGAGAGGTGTAGAGGTAGACGCTGGTCATATCATGTGTGGTCTTACCTGAGACTTGGCTGCTCGGAACACCTGGTCCTCCAGACTGACGATGTGTTGTTGGATTTCGTATACTTTGTGGACGTCGCCTCTGCTACCGACTAGTAGCTGTTCAATTCTGTAAAGACACATCATCTTGGTAAATGTCACCTCTAACTTATTGATAGCACTAATGTCGATTCTTAAGAGTGCAAGACAGACTATCCCAAAAGTGTGTTGAATAGTTGTTGGCACACTGTCTATTGCTTTTGTAAATAGTTATTGGGAGTTGGGGTGTACTTACATGTAGTGAACAACTCTTCTTCTGTAGTAGAGTGGGATGAGTGGGAGTGTAGAGTGGTGTAGGGAGGGTTGTGGAGGCGGGGAGGGCGGCCCCGGCCTCAACCCTCTGCTGCTCCAGGTCAGCTGGTCGCTACCACAGCCCGCCGGCGGGGGCGTAATGGCTCGCTCTCCAGGTGAAGTGAGCGACGTGTGCTGATACACTTCCACATCTGTGCCCTGACTGTAGTCAAGTCCAGTGCAGGGCGGCGTGTGTCTCTGGCCACTGGCTGGGTCAGGGTGAGCCTCCAGCCTTGAACTGCAGGCCACACTGTGGTTGCAGTTTCTGAACATACACCGATGACGTAGAATTCTTCTGTTGCTGTGATCTCGTTTATTAGTGAGTTGGTCGGCAGTGTCCATATTATGATACTTAAGGTTCACAGTGTCACCACAGCGTGTTCCCAGAGGTAGATCTCCTCCACCGACCGCTGGTGTGTCAGCCACTCTTGGTGACTCAACATCTTTAAGCTGCATGTCGAGGAACACACAACACTTAACAAGACACTTTGAGTTAGGCAGAGTCTGGTAGAGTGCTCGTCAAGCTGCGTCCGCACACAGCCAGGGTGTGATGGGTACTGACGGCTGGCCACCTCATTACTCCCGTCTACGAAAAACCAGCGCATGCGCATTTACCGATTTGAACGCTATCTTTTATTACGTTCTATGTTACATATCTGTGATTTCTGCTGCTGCGTGCGTGCGTACGTTCGTACGTGCATGCTTATCTACTTGCCTAACAGTTTAAAGAATCTGGCTTAAGCTCCTGGACTCCGCCTTATCAATTGTCGGTCGTCTAATGCAATGACTCCTGACCCCCCCCCCCTGTATATGTTGTCACATTTGCCTTTAAAACGATTCAATTTATATTTCTGTCTTTATTATGCACCCCATACCCATCCCGTGGGCGGTGGTGTAAAGGATTACAGAGGCACATAATCGGTTCAGGAACTGAACCCTCTAGTTCGTTTAGCTAAGCAAATAACAATCTTTTGATGCTAGTTACAAAATTATTAATGTTATATATACATGTACACATACTCATACATACATGTACATATATATATGTATACATATATACATACACATTTAATCACCCACACAAATACACATATCAATAATCTTTTGTGTCACAAGTGATTCAACAAGAGACTCACAACAGTCACTATACAAGGCACTTTACATCTCTAGTGAGTCACAGTTACTAGTCTTGCTGCACACCCACCCAACTGGGCGGCAGCTTTACAGTCATGTGCATGCATTACCTACAGTAAGCAAATTTTGGATACTTCGCTAAGATTTCGGGCAGCACATCATTATGAATGAAGTACTTACACATTTCTTGTACACCATTGATGGTGTTCTCTAAATTCCTCGATTTTTTTCACTTTACATTATATAGTGATGCAAAGTTCTGCTGACCTACCCCCCCCTCTCTCTGTCTCTGTCTGTGTAATCTATCTTATTAATACATTAGGTACATCTGCATTTGAGCTGCTCTAGACTATGTGTCAGAAGGCTAGTTAAGTGATGCTAAAAAAATCCCCATCACACAGGATGGTTAGTCATACAGAGACAAATGATAAGTAGTCTGCACTGACACACTCTGGGTTCGTTATGAGGATATCATGAACACAAGAGTGAGTAAGGCAGCAGTGGTACTCCCCATCCCACAGGATGGTTAGTCATACAGGGCCATATGTTTAGTAGCCTGCACTGGCAAATTTTGGGTGCACTATGAGGATATCTTCAAGAACACGAGAGTGAATAAAGTAATTGCAGAGCTCCAGGTACCTCATGCCAACGGGTCTGAATGGTCTAATAACTGGGGATTCGGTGATGTAGTGTGGGAGATCATGCCGCTGTTCCTGCTCACAGAACACGAAAAAATGTAAACAAATCTAGGGAGTGGGCCAGTCACCTTTCACCGAAGAGGTTTGGGAAGTTACCGTGGGTCAATATCAGGCTCGACCCCATTTCCATAGGACCAATAGGCTGTGGTAAATATGTGGGCCTGCGGGCCGCTTCAAGCAACAACCTGGTCCAACAGGTTATCACAAGTCGAGCATGGCTTCAGGCCGGGCTCGAGGTGTAGAACAAAGAAACAATGAGTAGAGTTTCTTTCACCCTGATGCCCCTGTTACCTAGCAGTAAATAGTTACCTGGGAGTTAAGTCAGCTGTCACGGGCCGCTTCCTAGGGGTAGAGGCCTGGTCGAGGACCGGGCCGCGGGGACTGGGAATCTGAAGCGCTGTCCACCCAGCTGTGAGGCGCGGTGCGGGCGGGTGCAGTAGAAGGATGTGTCAAGAGGCGGGGTACTGGCGCCCTTGTGAGTGTACGGGCAGGGGCGGCACCGGGCACCTTCAGGTGTTGTCTGGTAACACCTCACCTCACCCTTCAGGTGTTGTCTGGTAACACCTCACCTCACCCTTCAGGTGTTGTCTGGTAACACCTCACCTCACCCTTCAGGTGTTGTCTGGTAACACCTCACCCTTCAGGTGTTGTCTGGTAACACCTCACCTCACCCTTCAGGTGTTGTCTGGTAACACCTCACCTCACCCTTCATGTGTTGTCTGGTAACACCTCACCTCACCCAGTAAGTACACTACGTCAACAACGAAAAACAAATTATTTTGGTTATACAGTATATGGAACGTGTCTGGCAAGGATGAGGTAATCTTGTATGCTAACATGAAAGACGTGGATGTGATTAGTTTCCAGGACCCGTATACGTCCACATCTATCGAGAAAGTTCCACCCAACATACCTGGGTATATAGTATTGGAAAATACATAGCTTTTCGACCCAAGTTAACGCGGCTTTAGAGTAGCAAGATTTGTCTATGACACTCTCGGTACAAGAGGTGACGGAGGCATTAGCAGGTAGCCAAGCTGCACACGCAATACGCACATGTTTGGCCAAAGCATTTGACCATTGTACCTATGAAGGGAGGGAACCGGTCGGCCGAGCGGACAGCACACTGGTCTTGTGATCCTGTGGTCCCGAGTTCGATTCCGGGCGCCGGCGAGAAACAATGGGCACAGTTTCTTTCACCCTATGCCCTTGTTACCTAGCAGTAAAATAGGTACCTGGGTGTTAGTCAGCTATCACGGGCTGCTTCCTGGGGGTGGAGGCCTGGTCGAGGACCGGGCCGCGGGGACACTAAAGCCCCGAAATCATCTCAAGATAACCTCAAGATGAAGTTATGCTCCACAAGATGAAAGCAAAGACAATCGCCGGCAAGGAAGACGAGTGTGTTTGGGTTTAGTAATAGATGTGAGCGTGTGAGAAGGCTGCACCAAGTGCTGGGGGATTACTTAACAGTCCCCCGGCGCCCTCGTGGACCGCATCCTCGTATCATCCTCGTATCATCCTCGTCTCGCCCTTCCCGGTCACACTAAGGTGACGCAAATGCCTCTTTAAAATGCTGAACAACTACATATAACAAGGAAGTTATGTAGCAGGCAGGCAGGGTGGAAGCAGTGTTTTAAGGTGATACAGTCCAGTTACAATACTATACTGTGTTACCCAACACAATGGACACTTGAACTGTTTACATGATAAAAGATGCAGTCAAATTTCTGCGCAGAAGGGAGTGATGAGATCAAAGATCTATTACTATTAATGTCAGAAGACTTAATGTTTAGAGAGTTGAATACAGCAGACGCAGCAGCAGCAGCAGCAGCCAACAACATGCTAGGCTGGATAATGAGAACCTTCAAAACAAGGGATGCAGCACTAATGGTCCATTTACTGCTCACATAGTCACTTAAGCACTTGAACAACTCCCTTCCCCTCATAACTTTTCTCTCTGGAAGCTAGAGCAGGAAGCTGTGTCAATATATACAAGGAGAATACTGGAAGGTCGGGTCACTAACCTGTATTATAAATGTGAACACAGTGTAGCGAGGGAGATGGCAGCAATCTTAGACTAAACCCAGTGACAAGTCGGGGTACCATGAGCACAATTGGAGCAGTACTCACCTAGTTGTGCTTGCGGGAGTTGAGTAAGGCTTTTTTGGCCCGCCTCTCAACTGTCAATCAACTGTTACTAACTATTAATCCCCCCCCCCCACACACCCAGGAAGCAGCCCTCAACAACTGTCAAACAGCAGTGTGAAGACTGTCAGTATCAAAGTACTGTGCTTGCTCCAGTACTTTTTCTCATCTTCATATCGGACATGTACAAGAACACAACCTATAGTACCATATCATCCTTTGCAGATGACACTAGGATTTTCATGAGAGTAGACAACATAGAGGATACGGCAAACCTCCAGTCAGATGTAAATCAGGTCTTTCTATGGGCTACAGAAAATAATATGGTGTTTAACGAAGAAAAGTTCCAGCTCATGCGCTACGGAAAAAATGAAAATATAAAAACGGAAACCACGTACAAAACTTCGTCAAATCATAACAGAACGAAAAGGCAATGTAAAGGATCTGGGTGTACTCATCATGTCGGAAGACATTAACTTTTAAAGAACACAATAAAGTAGCCGTCACAACTGCAAGAAAAATGACAGGTTGGATAACAAGAACCTTTCACACTAGAGATGCTATACCGATGATGATACTAGAGCTCTCTAGAGTGGATTACTGCTGCACAATGACAGCCCCTTTCAAAGATGGAGAAATTGCTGACCCGGAGAGCGTGCAGAGATCCTTTACTGCTAGAATCCATTCAGTAAAACATTTAAACTATTGGGACAGACTAAAGAGCCTAAATCTGTACTCCCTTGAGCGCAAGCGTGAGATATACATAATAATTTACACGTGGAAAATAGTAGAGGGGGTGGTCCCAAACCTGCACACAGAAATAACATCACATGGGACCAAAAGGCATGGCAGGATGTGCATAATACCCTCGTTGAAGGGCAGAGGTGCAACAGGTACTCTGAGAGAAAACTCTATCAACATCAGAGGCCCGAGACTGTTCAACACGCTTCCACTACACATAAGGGGCATAACTGGCAGACCCCTCGCAGTGTTCGAGAGAACTGCATAAGCACCTCCAAAGGATACCTGATCAACCAGGCTGTGACTCATACGTCAGGCTGCGAGCAGCCGCGTCCAACAGCCTGGTTGACCAGTCCAGCAACGAGGAGGCCTGGGGCCAGATTCACGAAGCAGTTACGCAAGTACTTACGAACGTGTACATCTTTCCTCAATCTTTGACGGCTTTGTTTACATTTATTAAACAGTTTACAAGCATGAAAACATCCCAATCAACTGTTGTTATTGTTATATACAGTCTCCTGGTGCTTCCGAGCTCATTAACTGTTTAATAATTGTAAACAAAGGTGCCATAAATTGAGAAAAGATGTACAGGTTCGTAAGTGTTGGCGTAACTTTTTCGTGAATCTAGCCCCTGGTCGACGACCGGGCCGTGGGGACGCTAAGCCCCGGAAGCACCTCAAGGCATCCTCAAAGCAAGGTAATCACAAGGCCATCACTAGCCTTGTATCAGCACATATAAGGAATATAGCTGGAACAAAGGTTGCCTCGGTCATAGGGGGAAAAATCACAGCCTGGTTGATCGCGTATCCTTTGGAGGTGTTTGGAGTTTACTATTGAACACCA